AAGTGTGCAGCTGAGACTGTCTCCATCATCACAGAAAGTTCTGTTGGGCAGTAGTGCTTTAGAAGGTAAACCATGAAAATGGCGGCACCTGACTCTTAAGTAATAATAATAGTAGTGGGGAAAGTACTTTCCAATGTGTTCACACAGTGTCTGGTGGGTAAATATTTGTGAGAAATTTAATATTTACTGGGAGGAGACAGATATGTAGATATAATTTGGAAGGGCTCATATCTCAAGTGTGTCTTGAATATACAAGTAGAACAAAACAAAGCCAATAAATATTTGAACTGGCATCATATTTCAAAGAATCCTAAACATTTCCCATTAAAACTAACTATTAATAAATATTTGTCAGTTAGTGGCTAAGAGTATAGTAAACCTTCATTTTAGAAAGCCACTGTTGAATGGCAGTGGTTATAAAGTGAGTTAATTGATCTTTTAAATCAAATCTAGTGTTTACAATATTACCATTTTGTGTATGTATGTATTTTTGTCAACTTACTGCCATTTTCCGTACATATACCCATGATGTATTCAAGTATCATGCCACAATTAAAGTCAAAGTTCTTTCTAAAATATAACCTTAAGTTCTTCTGCCTAATTTTGGAATGTTATGTTTAAAAGAAATTTATTATTTCACTGACTGTGGTCTTATCCTGAGAAATTGACCCAAGCATTGTTATGAATTGCACAATATGAAGAGATGGGAACTTATCTAGATTTCACACAAGTTAGCCCTATTAGCCACACGACCTTGGGTCTGGTGTCCTTATATGCAAAATAACAATAAAAATTCTTTCCCAGTCAGCATTCTTGGACTGTGCGTGGGAAAATGTTTTAAAAAGGAACATGAAAGCATTTTTTAAAGTGTATAAATCTATAACAATATAAGAATTATAATAATTGTGCCTTCAATAAACATTGGAAGACAGCAACATGAAACCTCACTTCTTATCTAAGACAGAGAGTTTACTAGATGATACATTTACATATATTTTAAATTGCATTGTAGACTTATCAAAGATTGCATACATTCATTATTCCAACCTAAAATAAAAATTCATGCTATTCCCAAACATGACTCACACTGCCTCCAGAGTTCTGGTTTGATTCTAGCAATTCAGAAAATGTGCAAAGAGCTAATGACTCTGGCCCCAGCATTGCTTGGTGACTGGAAATGGATGCAGAAAGTTTGCCAACTCTTTTTTCCCTATTTTTACTAAATTTATTGGGGTGACACTGGTTAACAAAATTATACAGGTTTCAGGAGCACAACTTCACACACATCATCTGTGTTATGTGTTCACAACCCCACGTCAAGTCTCCTTCCATCATTGTTGGTGTCTGCAGGCCAAACGAAGCTAATGCCCTGCTCTACATGTGAGGAAGCAGATATTCTGATATTTTTACTGTTTTGCTCAGAATGAAATCATAGATTCATGGTGATATCTAATCAGTTTCTATTATTGCATTTGGGACCCTGCAGAGCAAAGACTCTCTTCCATTTTCTGAATGTCATAAGCAAACAAGCATGCATTCTCCACAAATGAGCTTTCATAATGGAGTATTTTTACCTTAATATGCTCTCTCTCTTAGGAAAGGGCACATACAGATCTTAGTGTATCTTAGGGACAACATGGTGGTTCTCTAAATCTAAGAACACATCCTAGAAATTTGCTGAAATGGTCACTCTATCTGATCCCATATTGATAACATTTCCTTTCAAATATATGTTTCTGTTTTTACCTGTACACAAAAACACATTGCTTATGGTTTTCTTTCTTTAGTCACTATACATCATTTGGGATGACAAGCAAACAATGTTCTTTAAAAACATTGATTAGAATATCATATTTTTAAAAATTGTAGACCTGATCTTAAAATTGACACCTTCATAAGAATGTACCACTCTTCATGGATTCCATCTGACTCAGAGGATTTTCAATATGTTCGTTTTGATCAAATAATTTTTCCAAGTAATTTATCCTTAAGTTAGGAGTATTCCTGGAATCAATTATTTTCTTCAGATTTCAGAATGTGCTGCATAGCTCTCTTCATGTAAATATTAGCAGTACCTTTGTCAAACATTGTATCTGACAGCAATCTGAACTAGGCTAGTTAAACCCACTCAAACATTAGTCAGACCTTACACAGAGCAACTGAAGAACGCTTAGCAACTCTAATGTCAGAAAAAGAACTCAGAATGAATATGTCTCTTGTTTAGGTCAAGACAAATGTCAGGGCCAATGAAAGATGAAACATGATGATGGAGATTTGAAATGAAGGGCTGGGGTAACAGGTTCTTGGCCCGAGCCACTGAACAACAGGAGAGCAGTACTGGGGAGTACCGAAGACAGCAGTGGTACAGAGAGTAGACAAAAAAATTAATTAATTAATTAATTAATTGATAAAGCCTCAGGCTTTTCACTTCCAGAGAAATGATCTTATACTTAAAGCAGTTTCAAAGTGGTATCAGAAGAGGCTATTAAATTCGGAGCAACTTTTTGTCTAAACAAGTCACCTTTCAAAACCTCAATGAAGCAACAGGAAGGATTTGAATATGCAGAACATGTATGGTTGTTTCATCAGTGTGCTGACACAAAGGAAAGCTAAAAAGCTAAAAGCAAAACAATACAGAGAAGGAAAACTAAGGTTCCCTAAGCATCCTCTATGTGAAAGGAGCATGGTTGACAAGTTCCCTGTCTTATTTCGTGAACGCCTAAAACAACATCATGAGATGGAATTTTCTTTTCAATTTTAAAGAAGAAGAGGGAGGCAGACTGTAAGTAGGGCTCTCACTTTTGAATAGAGGATTTTCTCATTCCACATCCATACTTTTTAAAAATACACTGAGTCAAATACAAATGGCCTGTCCATTTCAATATCAGGTTATTTATTTGAACATTACTGAATAATGTGAAGGTGGTTGAGAAACTTAAACTTTAAAAGGTACTGTGTTACTTGTACTACTTTCATTAATAGCTTATGCATATTTGAAGACAGACATTCAAATGTGATGGTCAGAAGTTACATTCTTCGAATGCAACATCATTCAGATGCATCTCCTGGACTAAGCATTTTATTTTATTTCTAGTTGACCAGAATTCACTAAACTTAATACATTTTTTACTTTTTTATTGAGGCCTCCCCAAAATATTTTAGCATTTCACTTTTTTTAAAATGTGTTTTTGTCCACATCTCAAAAATAATCTAATCAGGATGACCTAACATGCAGTTAACCAATTAGAATATTTATAAAATATTAAATAAAGGCACTAGTACATAAATATGTTGGTTTTAAAAAAGGAGAGTATTTAGCCAACTTTTGAAAAACATAAATTATATATTTTTAGATCCCAAATTTCACATACTCAAATAGATATCCTTATAATTCATAAAATACAAATTCAAATATTTAATGTAAAGTATGGTGAGAAAAAATGTACATATTCATGTATTAAATTTGTACCTATGTATGAAAAAAGTCTATAAATATCACATAGTATAAAATAATAATATAATTCAAGAATTATAAAAATTTCAAAACCATTATTCATTTCTTCTTTGATTTAATCATAGAGTAGTTGTGAAGAAAACACAATGCTTCCTATGCAACTTTTAACTGAACCATATTATTTTTAGAGTCCTAATTTCAATCATTCAATGTTCTCTATCCGTTCCATTTCCAAGATTTTCCTCCTATCATTATTTCCATGCAAGTAGTAATTTAGTAAAAAAACAAAACAAAAAACTTGCTTTTTTGTAAGATAACTATCTTTGAAACAAAATAAAAATAAAAATGTTGATGAAGTAATCTATAAGTTCCAAAAATTTTGCATTTATCATTATGCATTCAATTCCATTATGCAATCATTTCCAAAGTCAATAACAATCAGTATTCCTTTCTTCACCCAAAATATTCCAATTTTAGCTTTCATGTCTGGCTAACTATGAAGCTACTTCTAACTTAAAATGATATATTTTACATTCACTAGAAATAAAATAAACTAATAATTTAAATATCCTGTTAATAATAAGCTTATATATTTCTTAATATTTTAAAGTAATATTTCTAAAGTTTTTTGTTTGTCAATATCAAGAAACATTAACAGTGAATGAACTCAAATACATAGAAAGGCACTATATATTTTGATGCAAAATATACAGATATTAATTTAGATTAAATTAATAGCTTAGACTTCTTTATCCCACTGTGGGATGATAATTAATTACTAATTAGCACATTTTGATTACAGGCACACATGGCAAAATTTATGATTAGGAACCCTGCCACAAAATGCCTTCCACCACAGCCTTTACGAACTATGAACTGTGTGAACTATGAAGTGTCTGAACTGAGAAGATACCAGTGGGATTGCAAAGATCAGTTTAAAAACAAATTCCTACAAAGTGTAGCAAGATGATAACATTAGGTTGATAGCAGACTATCTCCTTGATTAGGGGGGAAAGCACTGATGATATGAAATTAAAGCACTCTGAGAAAGAATCACAGGGGCATTTAGCGAGTTACTAAATAAGAAATCAACACTGAATTAATAATCTAGATATGTTTTCCAAAAATATGGAATTATATAAAATACTAGATACAATGGCTTGTGTATTTACTGAGCTTTAACGAGAGAGGTGCTTTGCTGCAGCTTTGATGATATGGCTGGCCATTCACCTGAGACCCCCAAACAGCATTCTTAAACCTGCTTCCTATCTCAGTTTTCAGTCACTGAGCACTTCCTGAACAGTGTACTTCTGCTCAGCTGAGATAACAGTATTAAGGTAGCCCTCAGACTGCACTCACAATATCTGTACATAAAACAAGGGAATCATAGGGAATGCTTTCTCATAAAATGAATAAGTAGTAGATATTAAATGCTTTATAGTGTTCCTCAATGCAACACACACTGTAGGAACCGCACATACACAGGTGTGTGTCTATAACGTTATATTGATGAGAGTATATTTATTATTTTATATATTTTCCTTACCTGTCAAGTTCTTCAATCCAAGTTCTTGAAGCCCAAAGTTGCCATCTTTTCTGTAGTTTAAAAATATTGCCAAGGCATATCGATCCTCATACAGTTTTGTCCCACGAATAATGCGTAAATTCTCCAGAGGCAGGTAACGAAACTGGTTAAGAGCCACTAACACGTAGCCTGTGACTTCTCGAATAGACTGAAAAGATACAAATAAATGCCTGTGTTAAAATATTAAAGATTGTTTATCAGTATATTTATGTAGTCATTTAGATAAAAATGAGTCACTTAAGTCTATTTTTCAGTATTAATAATGCACCCATTTCCACACTGTGTTGTAAACAATTGCCTTGATAACAAGATCACAAAGAGTTAAAATCTCATTTGAAATATGAGTTGTATTTTATTAAAGTCATGTATGTGCCTACAGTAAAATAATGGATTTTGTTTTATGAGGCATTCTTTATACTTGAGAGTTGAATATAATTCAAGGCATGGAGATCTTATTTTTATTTTTTAATATATTTTTATTAATTTCAGAGTGGAAGGGCAAGATCACAAGTTAAAATCTCATTTGAAATATGAGTTGTATTTTATTAAAGTCATGTATGTGCCTACAGTAAAATAATGGATTTTGTTTTTTGAGGTATTTTTTATACTTGAGAGTTGAATATAATTCAAGGCATGGAGATCTTATTTTTATTTTTTAATATATTTTTATTAATTTCAGAGTGGAAGGGAGAGAGAGAGAGAGAGAGAGAGAGAGAGA